GATCTGAGCTACTAGTATGTCAATTATTTTAAGAGAAGTGTTAATTTTGAAATTTCCTTAATAAAAGAAAGAAAATTATTAATTTCAAATATTCTATCAAAAATATAAAAATTGTATTTTTGTATTGTTTACACAAGGGATCCTAATAATCCAATGGTATTTTAGTTCTTGATTACTGAAAATTAAATAAATGGCCTATAAAAAAATGTATTGTATACAAATGTTACAATCAAATTAATTTCATAACAATAGTGTAAATTGGGAAAACTATTATTTTGGATTTATCATTTACTATCAAATAAATATAATTATCAATATTTACAAAAAGGCATATGGTAATTTTCTAGTAGCTCAATTAAATTTTAAAAATACGGCTCTGGTTTGAATTCTACTCGCTGAAGGTTAATGTCAGAAGTGGTGGTACTTCCAGTATAATGTAATAACTTAATCCGTTTCTTGACTTAAAAATCTTGAGGGCATAGTTTTGTTGTTCACTATACAGGACAGTATTGTCATCTTGTGGCGTTCCTAAGTGATGAGAGTTCATTGAATGATTAATAAGTAAGGAGACATGGAGGAAATTAAAATTAAAATTTATATCATTATGTTTTTATAATTAATCTATATTGTTGAAAAGCTGGGCACTAGTTAAAATTTTAAACTTAAATTAACTTATCGTACTAGTTTTAATACTCAATAACTTATTCACTTAACTAATGAACTAAATGTATAGAATAACTCGTTAGAAATTAAAACAACTAGTTACAATGTATTAATNGAAAAAAAAAAATTTGACCTCTGGACTTGTCTTCGTGGTGAAAGTTGACATCAAAGTTAATAAAAAATTACGATTTTTGTAAAATAATTTTTTTTTATATTTTTAACTTAATAATCCTCTAACTTTTTCAAAAATGAACATATCAATATAATTCTTTTTTATATAGATGTTTGATGTCTTTACTTATCATTTGGTATATTTTTTTTGTAAATCTGACACTTAACCTGCCCACAGGGGGGGATTTAAAATGACAACTTTTTCACAAAAAATTTACTTTTTCAACATAACTTTTGAAAATGTTCCGGAAGGTCTGACACTTTTATATATATCTTAAATTAAAGCTAATGTAATATACTTTAATTTGAAAAAAAAAAATTTGACCTCTGGACTTGTCTTCACGGCGAAAATGGCTACCGAATGCTATTTTCGTGTGAAAATTCTCGATTTTATGATTTATATTATATTTTACTTTATAATGCNTTTCTTTATTTTAAACAATTAGGTCAGTACACATTTTGCAAATCACATCTCTTTTACACAAGATTTTCATCAAAATAGAAATGTGTGTTTCTGTTGATGCTGATTTAGCCAATATTTATAATAATTCTNGTTGATGCTGATTCAGCCAATACTTATAATAATTCTAATTTAAAAGTTTTTAAATTTATATTTTAAACTATGAAAAAAAAGTAACTTCTAATTTTTACTCTAATTTAAGTTACTATTTTCAACTTCTAACTAACTAAGTTAGAAATTTGGAAAATTTCAGAAATTAAATTCTATTCTGACTTAGTTGTCATTTTAAAGTTATTTAACTTAAACTAGTTTGAAAAANTGTCAGATATCATTATACTTGATCTAACTATACCACGTCACAACTGTGCCGCGACCCCCCTGTGCTGGGTTTTTTTTTTTAATTTATTTTTGTATAAAACAATAAGTTTTAAATTTATTAATAAGGTAGTAAGTTTACCCTAAAAAATTATTACAAAAATATAATTTGGGATTTATTGTATTATGTTTCTTTACATTAATCATTATAATGGACTATTTAGCTCAAAATACTCTATCTCCCTCTATTAACAATCATGGTTATTTTAATGATAGTTAAACAACAATGTTGATAAAATCAAGTTATCTTTTTTTTAATTATAACAATTTTTTTTTACCATTTAGTTGCTAAGTGAATCTTATACATTAGTTATTATTTTAAACACATTAAATTATTTTATTTACTTAGTATAAGACCTATATCATATACCTAGTATGACTACATGTACTTTTAAAAATGTCTTTTTTAATATTTGTCCAAAACTAAGAAAAAAGAACTACTGTAAAATACTTATTAATTTTTGTTTAGTAAACATTATAAGTTTATATATTTTGTATAAAAAATGATATTTAATAAAAAATGTACATTAATTCACTAAATTTGTTTTTTATTGAAAATATTAAAATAAATTAGCTATATTTAACTATTAAAAAATAAACTTATTGTATACATTTTCATAAAAAAAACCATTCTTTTTTTTACTGTCGTAAATTTTATCATATTTTATTTACACATTGTCATGATAATAATTTCCTATGTTTTTATACACGGCATTGGGAAAAAATCAATTCAATGTAAAATCAAATGTTCTTTTTTGTTTGTGTTTCTAGTATTTTCATGACTAACGTAGTAATAAAGTTTTTTTCTAATTGATAGTTTAATAAGACCTTAATTTAATTTTTCATTTATTTTTTATTCGTTTGAAGTATATAGGTTAACAGTATGAATATTATTTATACTTTTAGTATATGAAAGTGTTTAAATAAATAATCATGATCATATTTCTGAGTTTTTTTTTTTATCCCAATATTATTAGTAAAAATATTGCTTGGTAATAAAAAATTACCAATTTGTCGGGACAAATTTTTTTTTTCATTTTATAGTATATAAAATAAGCTTTAATTTTATATATGTTTAAAGGACGCAGTATTTCCAGAACATTTTCAAAAATTAAGTTGAAAAAGTTAGTTTTTATAAAAAAGTTGCTATTTTTAAATCCCCCCAATGAGCAGGTTATATGATAGATTTTCAAAAAAATTATATCAAATGAAAGGGAAATATCTAAGGTTTTAGTATAAAAAAAATTTATGTTGATTTGTTGATTTTTCAAAAAGTTATAGAAGTTTTAAGAAAAAAAAGTGAAAAAATTTCGAAAATTAGCGATTTTTAAATTTGTAATTTTTTTGGATATTTCCCCCATTTGCGGGGAACGAGGGAATAATTTTCAATTTTTAAGGGTAATTTCTTTAACAAGATACAATTTGTGATTTTTTGACGTATTGT